TTTTGAAGTATAGTACATGCATACATGTGTATGTACATACATACATACATACAAGTATGTCAATTTATTTTTATTTCACTCTCCATACCTTTTCTCCTTGTAAAAATGGGCAGCGGCAGCGGGCGGTTGGGTGGGGCTCGTTGCATGGCTCGCCGACATGCAGACATTAATTTGTTAAATTAATTTTCGCCATTCTCGTTGGCTATGTGCTCCCCACCCCCCACCTCCTCTTCACTCATCACCACCCTTTCTTTGCTCCCATTCCCCCGCCTTCATTAAATTAATTGAACAATGGCTGTGACGTCGACGTTCAAGTGGTGTTGGCGGCTAAATTTATGCGCTCATCGTTTAAAAAACTACTTGTAAAGTTTGTTGCTTAAAACGCACATACAACTGCACGCATACAGATACGTATGTACTCGAATGTACATATGTATACACATATGTATGTACATACATGCACACGTAATGATTATAGCAACAAGTTTTCCAATTTGCCTTTTTATGCGCTCCACATACATTTTTAGATTGCTTTCAAGCGAGCTTCAAATGGAGTTGATGATGTGTCGTGTATGTGTTTGTTTCCACACATGTATTTGTGAGCAATATTTGGTCCAAAACAGCAGCAGCAGCAGCAGAAACAACAACAATGCTAGCCACATCTCCACATACCGGCAAACACATTGTCCGCCAAAAGTCATCAGCCCTCGATAAGACAGCAAAATACATTTTTTTCCTTGTTACACGCTTACAAAAAGTGGAGTATTTTAGCTTTAGTCAGTGGTTGGTCTGCATAGACCTAGCCATAGTTGTGGTTATAGATTTGTGACAGACCAGACAATTGGAATTAGTGTGGCTCGGCCTGTTCGTTGTTATGAACCTCAAGATCTTTGGGACCACAAGAACTAAAGAAATATATAAATGGAGTTGTTAAAACAGCACATATAGTTTCAATACAACTAGTCCATTGTGTTCTTAAGTCTATACCGTTTCTATGTTTTCGTGAGTTTTTAACAATAGGAAACTTTTTAAAAATTTTACTCGGTGCATAACGTATTAGTCATAAGAGTGAGTGCGTTCAGGCAATAAATGTGAATGAAAGAAACCAGTTTGTTAACTATTGAAAGACATAATTAATCGTTATTATTATTAATTTACTTTTGGAGACCAAAAAGGCTAATATTAGACTCAAATGTTTGATAACTTAAACAGGAAAACAACAAGATCAAACAAAGAATTTGCTTAGCGACTTCTAGTTAGGCCTTCGAGCATTGGAAAAGTTAAGACTAGCTCTCGACTCATAGCTGATGCATTCTTCAGGCACTATTTATAGTCTACTCTTTGGCTTACTGCCTTAATTCAAAAGCTCTCAAAGATCGAGCCTTGAAAGTACTGGACTGAATGTTCATTGAAATGAAGGGTATACCATAGTCGCATTGAATATGAGGTTATTGTTTGGTCATAAACTTGTTTTTCTTTCATGTAACTTTTTGTTAGCTTTCATGTTCTTATGTGCGTAGTTATTGTTGTTGTTGTTGTAGTTGTTGTAGTTCTAGTTGTTCTGCCACATTCGCATATCAATTTCGGCACATGACGTAATCTCCACATGCTCAATGGGCTGGCAACAACGACAACAACAACAGCCACTACACTGAGTTATGAAGTGTATTAGTATTTGAAATGTAAACAGATAAAATGCGTGGCGGGGGCTGTTCGACTTGACTCGACTCGACTCGAGTCGACTTGGCCCGACTTTTTGTGTGGCCCCTAGTCGATGGTATATGTACATAGTATTGGTAGACGTTGCTTGGTTTGGGTTTGGGTTTTTAGTCTTTTATTTTCATGTTCAAGCATGTGACGATGACTTTTTTGTTCCGTGTTCAATAACTTTTGACAGGTTTCTTTCTATATACATGAATGTCCCGGGTCTGTATATACATACATACAAGTACATACATAAGTATATGAACATTTGTGTGTAGGTGTGTGCGAAATTTGATTTCGAGTGGTAGCTGTTTTGGGGGACAATGCGTCCCCATGTCCATGCCATCCAATCAGCCCAACCAGTTAGTCAACCAGCCATTCTGTCGACCAGTCGTTGGCAATAAAAGCCTCAACCTGACCAAATGGCAACAACAAGTTTATTCTCAGCCGAAACTCAAAATATGGCGCAATCTAAAGAACCTTAGACATCAACACGAGACTAGTATACTTATACATAAATACATAATATGTATGTATATATGTACATATGCGCAATATGTAAGTACAGACGTGTGTGAGGGCGTTTTTGAAAGGCCAGAAGGCAGCTTTACTAGCCTCTAACACGCTCCCCTTCCTGTGATGCTGAGCTTGAAATCGATCAGACAACTGCGTAGCGAATTCATCGGCTCGGATTTCAGTTATGAAAGGGTCTCCAGTCAACGATAACGACAATGATATATCAAATAAACACGAGACATTCTCGTTCGCAACTGCCTGGAAAATAGAGTCGGCTAAATTTAGAAGTCAAAATCTTCTACCACCTCTAAACTGTCCCCTAATCTTATTGAATCTTTGTTCGAACATTGGTTTTCAAAGCTCTAAGCAACCTGCGGATCTTCATGCAATCTAAATTCATTTTTGTCACATCTACCGTCGTGTCAGGGTGCACGCGGGTAGACAGAATTCGGCTATTTTAAGACTCGCAATCGGGATACCTTTCCCATAAATAAATATGTCGGCATATGTTGATAAGCGACTAGCGACGTTGATAGTAAAAATAGCAAGAAATTTTCTGTTATACAAAGATGTTGTCTGATATGAAAACCAGTGCTTAAAATACTTCATGCTAGAGCACGCCATTGGTACTCGATTAGTCATTGAAAAGTTATCAGACATCAAGCAAATATTATAAATTATGAGGGTATATATTTATGTATACATAAGTGCTCTTATTTCCCCTAAATAATATTTGAAAAATGCAGGTACCTGCTGCCTTTAAAGCCAGATGAAAACATTTACAATTACAATATGTTTTACAGCTAAAGGCAAATGCACAGAATGGATTATAGATATAACTTCCCTATTTAAGTAATTAATCTTTCCCTCTCTCCTCAAAATCGTGTGCATATGGGCAAAAGTTGTCTTATAATGGCGTTGACTGATCCATTAGAAATCGGAAACAGAATCAGCCATGTTTTCAGTTGTCAATCGACAATTTTGAGGCAGCAATGCAGCTGATGTTTTTGGTCGTCTTAGATGTGGTTTTGCTTATTGAAATACCCCTTCGTTTCACTCAAAGAAGTATTTTTATACCCCCTGTACCCAAATGGTAAAAGTATATATATAGTATTGTTGATCAGGGTGTCAAGATGAATCGATATAGCCATGTCCGTGTGTCGGTCCATCTGTCTGTATGAACGCAAGTATCTCAGAAAGTACAAGACTTAGAATAACCAAACTTGGTATTTTGATTCTCCTAATTTGTTCATTGTTTTTCGATGCACCCCCACTTCCCCTCTATTCGCGATTTTCTCTAACTCACCCAATTCTTGGAATTTTTAACTAAAAGTAACAACCATTTAGTGATGTGAACCACTAAGTTAAGTTTCGTTATGATCAATTAGAAAGAAACTAATGTAGTATGCATTGAATAATTTTTATTTAATTAATTTAAAATTCACAATTTTTTTTGGGAGTGTGTACAGGGTATTTAAGAGTTGAGTCCGCTTGACTATAGCATTCCTTTCTTGTTGAATTAAGTATGCATATCTAAGTAAGGGAACTAATGGATAAGCGATATTAGCTTAATTCTGAAACCTCTTACTTACCTCTTACCACTTTGTCCAAAATCTAAACATTTTTAACATAATACCAACATTTTTCTCTCACTGTATTTTGTAAATCACATTCGTTTTTAAAGTAGAGCTTTAAAAGTGCAGAGCTTTGTTTATCACTAAGCATTAGAAATAATTAAAAAATGCATTTAATCTGCATTTAGTCTAGTTCTTAAATAAGAGAGTTATTTAAAAGTAGCGCTCTAGAACACCCAAAACTGTGCTCCTTGCCCAATCCTTCCAAAATATATATTACACAAAAACAAAACACACATACACAAAAAAAAAAGAAAAGGAAACAGCTTTATTTTTTATACGACCACAAATCTGAGCACAGATCGAAAGCCACAAACTGTCATCAGAGTCATCAGATGGCGGGCGGACGGGCTGACTGACAGTCCCATTCCCTGCCACTCGATTCAGTTCCATTCCATTGGCTAACCATACGACGTACTCTTATTTACGTACGTATTACGAATGTCAATATCTAAATCGAGAGCGTTGTCGTCGCGTGCGTTATATAATGCCCTGGCTGACTGGTCGCCATAGCCGCGATTTGCCAGACGCGGCCAATTTGACAAACTTGGTGCGAAATATTTGCACAGACTTGGAAATGCCAAACGCGGCAAGAGGTGAACAGACGCCAAAAGGCGGCCGGCTGAAACGTGTTAGCCTAAAAAGGGGTCTGGCTCGGTGGCGAGCGGTTGCCAGCGATTGTCAGCGGTTGCTAGCGGGTTGGTAGGTGGTCCTTCGGGGCGATCGAGATTTATGTGCGGTGGGCCGTCAATTTAAATAAATTTAATTAGAAATTGTTGAAAGTTCAAATCGCAGTTATTGCTTAGTAGGCATCGGTGGAGGGGACGGACGGCAGGCGGACAATTGAATGTCGGCGGCAGCACAGTGGGATGAACAATTAGTAAATTGCTTAATTTAATTGACATTGAATTGGTTGGCAGGCAGTCAGGCAAGCAGGCAAGCAGGCAGTCCATATGACGCACTTGCTCAACTATTTTAAGGTCATACGCCACTGCGTGATTTTTTGCTGCTTTTCGAAATTTGTTTACCATATAAATATATGTATGTACCCGTATATACACACATACTATATATGTATGCATATATATCTAAGTACTTGTACACTTTTCTAACTTGTTGTTGCTCTCATTGTCTCTCTCTTTACAGATCGGAGCGTTCTATTGTACGCGTTTCAATTTACCAAAGCAGTCAGCCGCAGCAAATTTGTCCACCAGCTGAATATTTGTTAACGGGTTTTGCGGATAATCTAGATAATACGTTTAGTAGCTACAATTGTAACTTAGACTATACGACGATGACAACAGCAGCTATGCAGACGGCCGGCATTGGACCGGCCTACGATAGACAGCAGAGGTGAGTCCATCCTCTCCCAATCTATAATGGAACAGCGCACACTTTCCCCACATACTGCTACTCTATAACTCGAAAAGATCTTTTCATTGAATGTCTATCACAAGTAGAACACCTTCTGTCCTGGTACCAAACTTTAAACAAATCCGAAACGTACATATAACCAAAAACTGCCGAAACTTTTCCTTCCTCTGACTTAGGAAAATGTGTTTGTCAAGTTGGTTGAGTCTTGTACTTCCAGAGAGTTACTGACATATATATATCGCCTAATCTTTTCATGCTTCATGCTATAAATATATGCACCTACTAGTTTAGATCCAGAGTATACAAAAACTAAATCGATTAATTATCTTATTTATTATAATTTATCTTATTAGCTCCATTAGTACATACTCCGTTTAGGGTGAAATTTTAGGGAAAACGTGCAGAAGCCTTAGCTTATCATAGGGTTTGTATTTGTTGACCCATCATCATCATCACTCTTCTTGGATCTATTTGCCACTTAAGGAAGTCGAACAACAAAAAACATCAAAACTATACCTAAAGTTTATCTATCTAGAGTAAGGAGTTCATTGCTCAACTGATCAGCTTTGTCGAGTTGATATTTCTAGAAGTAGAAAGAAAACATACAATACTATACTTCCTATACTGAGTATAATGCGTTGCAATACTGTTGTTCTCGTATATATACGAGAATAGTAGGTATACCTAACACACATACCTGTTTTAAATAGCTACATATATCCAAACATACTATATTTCAAAAGAGAAAGTCGCAAAAGTCTGTACCATTTCTAAAAACTCATTAGAAAATAAATATTTTGCCATTTATTATAAAAAGACAGAAACCTTAAACTAACTAAGCTCATAGATCATATTATTATTGTACTTCTATTTTGTTCCTTCTATGAAATGATCCACAATTTCTTTATAATGTCAATAAACAAGTAAGCTGGTCAATTATGCAGGAATTCTTAGAACTTTCAAACTTTGAAAGCCCATTTATTTAAAGCCATTAGTGATGTGCTGTTCCGGTACAAGTACGCTTCTTTGGAAAATGTGTAAACTAATGTTATTTGAACTTTTACAGCACCGATTCCGGTTGGGATAATCCATTTCGTCCTGGCGGCGATCTATCCAGAGAGGCTGATGAGATTGTGAACATGATACGTGGTAAGCACGAGATGCTGGAAAGGCCTAGCACATGCAGTCGAACACAGATTACGGATCATTCTATATTATAGGTGGCAAGCCCATAACGCCTACAGAGGATCGTACAATAGGCAATGGCAGCGCACAGCATGGCGACGATAACTGCAATGGGACGGCAATAGGCGAGAGCGTGACTAAAACGAATGTGAGTTGAGAACCAATTGAATGGGGTTTCCCCCCCATTCCCTGATATGACCAACTAATTATGGGTAATTATGGGTGCCCGCTTCACTTACAGATTTCACAGAATCAAGCAGCACAAAACGGTACAAATTCCCACGGCAGCAAAGTGGCCGGCTCGTCGTCGTCGACAGCAACAGCAGCCACAACAGTTGGCGGTGGTGGCAAAACGGAGAGCAATAATGGCGTCACTTCTCTAGCTCAAGTCTCAAAGCAAGTGGTACCTGGACCAACTTCGGCTAGTCATGTGGTCATCGACGAGAAGAAGAACAAGAAAAAGGGCTGCTGTGTGGTGCAATAATCGATGAGTCGCAAACCGGGAGACACACCACGCACCACGCCAAGCTGCGCCCGCATCGGCATTGGCTGCGTGGACCGTGCGGAGGGTTGTCGCCATTTAAGGCGCTGCTTATCGTGTTTGATGTTAATGTTAAATGCTAATTGATGGATTGATGGATGACGACGACATGGACAACGACAAGGACGACAATGTGAACGATAAATATGAAGATGATGAAGATAATGAAGATAAGGATTAGGACTAGGACTCGGACATGGACATGGACATGGACTTGGACTCAGACAACATGTTGATATTTGATGCTGCTTTTGCAAAATGCTTGCAAAACGCATTGCGCTTAAAAAACAATAACAAAACAAAAAAGAAGAAAACCCCAAGCTCTCTGCCCCCCGACCAACAACAACAAAGCACAGCAACAGCAAATGGCAGTCAATCAGTCGATCAGTCAATCAGTTGAGACAGCCGGTCCAGTCGATCTGTCGAACTGCCTGCCTATGTGTCTGTCTCTCTGTCTCACTCACTCTCTCACACTCACACACACATACACTCTAACCCAATGCGTGCTGTAGCTGTCACTGTCACTGTTGCTGTCACTGTTGCCGTCACTGTTGCTGTCACTGTCTAGCCGCGGTGCAGTTGTTTGCAGTTGCAACTAAATTTAAATACTATAATATATATAAATGCATATATTTATATATTTGTTAGTCTGGATATTTATGTAAAATCGATGCTGATGTTAATTGTAGATGCTGCTACAGTTGATCATGATAATTATATATATATATGTACATATGCATACGTACCTATGCATATATTTATTTTCCTTCCCTTTTTTTTTTTTTGTAATATGACTCGATCTATATATATTTTTTTTTTCCTAAATGTAATTGTAAACTACAAGGATATAAAAAGTAAACGTTTTGCTTGCATGCATAATGAAACAACATTTAATATTGAAAATACGATTTCAAGCAAATTTTATAAAAGCAAGGAAAAAAAAGAAGAAAAACTACAAAAAAAATGAATGTGCGAGAGGGCGAAACTAAAATTTATATATACAAATCTATACATATATATATATATTTAAATGTATTTATTTTTTATTTATATGATGATGAAAGTAAATTAAATGTTAAACCTTAAACGAAAACACAAACAAACAAACTCACACACATATACACAACATTCACACGAAATGAACGGCGTAATAAACTGGCAGAAATAGAATCAGAATCAAAATGGAATCGAATCGGCAGAACCAGGATCAGCAGCAGCCTTTTAAAGCCTTGCAGCCCGCTAGAAATGTAAACACTGTTATAATTCTATGCTATTCTTAACTATATAAACAAAACCTAGGATGGCTTAAGCGTACAAATTCTGGAATATATCCCATATGACACGTACTATAATTATTATCCATTCAACATGCCAGAACATGCTAGGTTTCAAGAGCCCTTTCCGCAAATATATGTAAATAATTTCGAAACGCTTTCATCTAAGACTGAATGCATTTTCTGAACAATACAGTACCTCCAATAGTATGTATCTAGTCTATTCTCTTTAAAATACAAAAAGAGTTACGGACTGGAGGTGGCTTGAGGTTACAAATGTGTTTTGAGCGGCTAATCCAAGCACTTTAAAAATTTCAGTGCTCGATGAAATAGTTCGGATATTTAAATTCATGATCCAGCATGACGTGCCGAATCCAAATCGTGTCTGTTTCCAACGCAACTCCTTTTAAGATATTGAAGCTTTCGCTTTGAGACTTACCCCAGAGACTTTTTCTTGTTCTATCATACCAATGATGTGACTTAGAAAAGATTAAAAACATGTTGTTTTTGAAGGTATTTCAACCAAATAGAATATTGAGAATCTTATTGTCATAGGCCGCGAAAGATTAATGGGGAAGGGTATATAGCTTCGGCGCAGACGAAGACATTATATAATTTGTTCCTTTTATCCTTTTACATTTGAACAATCCTAATATGTATACTCTATGACTATTTTGTACCATTATGAAAAGAGAGTAAACTGAAAAGCGCCGGAACAGAAAAGTACAGTTAGTTGCCTTCGTGATTAGTAGCCGTGAACAGTGTTGAGTAGGGGCAAACACAGCTTCGCAGTACTACGCAAGTGGTGTGCTTGCTGCTTTGTCGTTATTAACATTAAGATACACAGACACACACACACATATATAGGTATATATGTATAAACAATTACACCCACTCGCACACACACCGCCGTCGTTAACCCCTTAAAGCCGTAAGAACATTTTAAACCACCGTCGTCAAATAAATATGCAACATAGCTGCGCTCGTTCCCATACTGTAAAGCTGTATCTTAGCATATACACAGATATAGTCTATATAACTACAGTTTAGAAATCCTTGCTAAAAGCCGTCTTCATTCTTCGTTATCTATCCATAATTTTTGTTCATTTCTCAGCCCAGTAACGATAATATCTCACATCGTATGAAAATCAAAAGAGCCAGAAACAAGTTCGAAGCAGGTATATACATACATATACATATGTAACAATATAAAACAAAATGGTACAATCTCGGGATCGCAATCGCATGAAAGTTAAACCAAATAAAAGTACAGATAGTTAAGGGACGCCCTAACTCCGAACTGGACCGCCACACACACACAAACACACACATACCAGAAGCTTAAAAAAAAGAGAAAAGTAGCATTTGATAAATGTAATAAAAGTAATGAAATAATAAAAATAATTATATGTAATAGCAATATTGTTTCACTAACGAAGAAATAAATATGAACTTACGACTCTCTCCATCTTTCGAGCAAATCAAAACGAAAAGAGTGACAGAAAGCAAGCGTAAAGTAAACCAATCAGAAATCAATACTACATATTGTATATATACTATATATATTGTAAAAACACTTGAGGAGGACATACTTAGAAGAAAGAAATTCAAAGCGTGGCTCAAAATTCTGCGAAATACTCTCGTACTCTAATGATTTACCGATTTGCGTGTCTTGTTCTCTATCCAATAAGGATCTTGAGTCTATATTTTAAGTTTGCGATTGACAGAGCAGCAGCCGAAAGTAATAAAAGTACACAAAATGAAATATCGAGTTTTATTTCGGATAATTGAACTATGTACATATATCGATTAATGGTGATCAGAAACTTGCTGCCAATCGATCTAAAATCGAGCACAAGGGAACAGTAAGGAATACTTTCCCATCTGTTCTTAGGAACACTGCCGGGTTATGAGGAACACTTGTTCAGTTCTTATAAACTCTTATACAGGTCTAATAGCGGCTAGAGCATTAAACTATTGTTTGTTTAATCGTCAATAGCTGAAAGTGATCTTATTAACCAATATTACTGGCAAAACTAGGATTGGAGGATAATAGCGCCTTTCACATACTTATTAATGTTTTTCGATCGGTGGGCCCAAAACTCAGTCACTTTAAAGTCAACTGAAACAATTACACTTAAGAAGCGCGATAACATGTAGAGCCAAATAAATCGTGCTTTGATAGTCAACTTGTTTGGACTAAATTCTAGAATGTTGAGTAATTTTAAACTAACAAACATAATAAATGCAACTAAAAAATAAAGACATAAAGTTTAAGTTAAAGCTTTTTCATTAGTAAGGTTGTAGGATTGGCTTAAGTCTCAATTTGTAGATCTGGGAACACTTTGGTAACCTCTGTGAGTGAATGGTGAACTCTATGCGGTTAAGTAAAGTACCACCACAGGGTGAGATACGTTGCTACCACGAGGTGAGATGGTGTGATGTTCTGCTAGAATAAGCTAAGATCAGTTGGTGTGCGTCTTGACTAAAACGTGATATGGAAAGACAGTCTTAGAACCAATCAGAGGCATTCTTATTATTGGATTAAACCTAATATTATACTTGAAGCGATTTATTCGAAGTTATTTGTGCGGTATCTTAAATTGAAATAGAATCAGCAAAATTTATGTCTTCGTGTAGTTTCTGGCAATTCAATAACCTCCATATTCTTCAGCAGAATGAAAAAACATTTCATGGATGAACATGAACTTTCCAATAATCTATATTAACATTAACACAATTTGTAAAAAATATGAATTTAGTCGAGCCCTTTTATTTCAGGCAGGTCCGTCATAACTGGCGAAAAATATGACCCGTTAAGCTATAAGCTGAACCCAAAAGTAAAGCGTAAAAGCTTTTTTATATTTTCATGTTTAGTTTTCAAACTGTGCTAAGAAATGGCTGCTTTTTATATCCTATACCCGTAGGGTAAATAGGATACATTAGGTTTGTGCAAAGTGTGCAACATATACGAGAATATTCTTAATTACTATTCGACACAGCTATGGCCATCTGGGTTTCGATATAGCTGGACCCACATTGACCTTCTTCTAGTCCCTTGGCAACACGAGTTTTTTTACTTTAGCACGGTATTGTTGCCAAACTGATGATAAGTGTAGTTTTGGTTCAGCCTGGTGGTTTCATCATAGAAATAAATATATAGGCATGTCCATCTGTCTGTATGAACACGTATAACTTTTGAACTAAAGCAGCTAGGGACACCAAACTTGGTATGTAAACCTGTCTTTTCCATATGCAGTGCAAGTTTAATTCAAACCTAATACAGCATCATTATTTAATATAGCTGCCATAGGAACGATCGGTGCAAAAATCATTCTTTAAAAAATTCGGCATTTGGAAGTTTTGTGAAGTGATAATAATAATCTGAACTTTTATCAAAATCGTAGTAGTGTACTTATTATATACTTGTAGATGCCAAAGAAATAATTGCGCCGTTAACGAAGTAATCATTAATTACCAATTAGATCGTATCTGTATTGGCTCAGTCTCAGTTCGATTAACACAATGCTGCAACCTCCTCCAATAATATACGTATATATGTACATAATAAGGATGACGCGACAAATCGATATAGACATATCTATCTGTCCGTTTGACCGTTGTATGGGCTTGATATTTTCTATAGCTGCCATAGTTTGAATATCGCTCATTTTGTTTTTTATTTAAAAATATTATATTAATATTATATTTAATATTATATTTAAAATGCAAAGTACAAATACACGTGTTTTTTGGTTTTTTTTTAATTTTCTTATAAATATATTTTTTACAAAAAACTGTGTTTTTCATTTCTGCATTGAAGTTGTTGCTGGGTGTAAAAATGTCTGTAAATGAAAACTGAAAGAAATTTATTCTTTTTATTAAAGCATATGCAAAAATTGGTGATTAGCTCCTTATCTTTGAAACCTATTCAAATCAGTGAAAAGCAAGGATTTATGTTTATTTTTTAAATCACATACATACTTATATATTTGTAATGTGCTTAACGACCCATATAAGAATGGTTTCTAGCTGCTTGTCAGCTGGGTGGATTTTTATTTATTTATTTTGTGTTATTTTTTATCCCGTTGAATGAAATAGTGTCGTGCAATTTTTTATTTTCAAACCGCGTTAAATCAAAAAGTTCACCTTTTTATATTGAAAAATTGAATACAGAAATCCTCTAATTTGCTTGCATCCCACGAATCACAAAATTGATCATCATTTCAATTCACTAGCTTTTTTCAGTGTAACCAAATTAAATACTCTGAAAATACCATTTGTAGATCTACATCAAATAAAATAAAATAATATGATATGAATCATAGACGAAGAGTTAATTGCTGTACTATTATTTTGTGGAACCATATTCGTTTTAGTTGAATGGTTGCGGCGGAAAGAAAGGCGGACACAGGACATTCAAGAGTGGCGCTTTTTTTTCGGAATATTTCTATAATTTCTAATGTT